GTAATTATATATATACACATAATATATATATATATATATATATAATTATGTGGATGCCCTGTATATATGCTGCTTTAAAAAAACTTCAGCTTTCAGGATGATAATATATTGTACAGGGTATTCACATAGGTATTTATATAGTTAGGTGTTTATATGTTTTTTTATCTATATAACTATTGGGCTGGGTATCACATATAAAGTAACAGGTTATTACACAGGGTATTAAATAGTAATTGCACATTACACATTGCATGAGATTTTAGTGTTAAGCAAAATGCAGAAACATATCCACCAAATTCAAAAGTGAAACACATATTTCTTTAAACCTCAGGCTTGAATCAGGGCTAATCAATCAGAAGCAGCAGCTCTGACTTATTCCCAACATTTCAATCTGCCATCAACAGAATCCTGATGCTGCTCCCCTCTGATGGATAAAGGCCATGCAGATCTGGGTTAAACCCAGTTTCCTGCTGTAGGGATGTGAGCAGGCCTATCCCCATTAATGCAGCGCACAGGCCTGCTGGGCAATGCTGTGCACAAATGCGCAATGAAACACCGCCCACCCGATGGCGCACGGGTCGGTCAGCGTGGTAAAAAGCCCTTCATGCAAGGATGGGATTGGCCTGATCAGTTCAAGGCAAAAGCATGGTCTGCAGAAGGGGGTATTTAACTGGGGTGTGGATGAGAGAAGAGGGAGCAAATATAGCTGCAGCATCTTTTGCTGGGATGCTGTTTTTAAGGCTGGGTTAATAAAATAATAAAGGATGGAGGAGAAGCAGAGCAGAGGCCAAAACACTATCAGAGGGATAATCCAGGCCAGAGCGCTTTGCTCCCAGAGGAAGGGGGGGGGGGGCATCTATAATAAACGTTTTCCTGAGTCTGGGAGAGGAAAAAATACACAACTGCATGTTTGTGCTTCAGTTTCCGTCGGTTTCTCCTCAGCTGAGGCTTTAACACACTGATGGAGGATTTCACCAACCTTATACACTTGTCCATAGGTTCCATTCCCCACTACCTCCACCAGCTCGAAAATCCCAGCTGGATCCTGCATATAAAACACACATAAAGGAAGGTGGGGGTCATTTAATTGATCTCCAGCTGTAATTGATGGGTTCGTTTAGTTTATAAGCCGGCAGCGCCCGGCTTGCCTCTCCTGCCAGCGGATATTAGACAAAGAAAAGCCTCCGCAGGGCTGTGTCGCTACGGAGCAACACATTCATTTCTAAAGATAAAAACAGCCGTTTAACAGACACTCACCCTCAGTGATGCCAGGTCTATGTCCACCAGGCTCTTGGCCGGAGAGTCGTTCGCCATCTTTTTAGTGAAAAGCGGTAATAAATCAGAGAAAAAACGGCGGAGTGGAAAATGTCTTCAAGCGGACGGATAGAGTCTCATCCTCGTCAGGTTTTGTATTAATCCCCCTGTTGATGTTTTATTTTTAAAGCGTGTTTTTCCTGTGGTTTTAGTCCAAGACAGGCGCTCCCTCCTGCCACATACCGAGCGAAGCGCTGCGCTGCAGACAGAATGACTGACTGCCTGCAGGGACCTCTGCTGCTCTCTCTCTCCCTGTGTGTGTGCAGCTCTCTCTATCTCTCTCTCTCCCTGTGTGTGT